TTTTTTTTTTCCTTCTTTTCTTTAATTTTCAAATTTAATCTATATCCAAGTTTTTCCAGAAGAACTGTGTGTGTGTGTGGGGGGGGGAGCCCTCTCTTTGTAACCAGTGTAACTACCACCAAAATGGTGAGGCATAGATAGATACAACTAGTTCTAGTAGGTTGTTTCCATGGTGCTGGGGATTCTGGAATGTGCTGCAGTTATATGTCAAAACATGGTTAAATTTACAAGCATGATTTTTTTTTCTCTCATTAGAAGAGTTCTCTTTCAGAGTTTATAGTGTCCACATTTTGTGCTTTTATAAATCATGTGGACTTGAATCTAGGACTATGATCCTCAAATTGGAGCATGCATCAGAATCACCAGGATGGCTTGTTACAACACAGATTGCTAACCCTGGAGTTTCTAAGTCTAGTTGAGACTTGAGAATTTGCATATCTAACAAGTCCCCAGGTGATGCTGATACCACTGGTCAGGGGAATGCACTTTGAAAACCATCAATGGGAGGGGGGATTCTCATGTATTTCCTAAATGGAAATCGTTCCTGTACAACACTAAGAAAAGGTCCACCTGGAGAATACAGACAGCTGGCAACCTCAATTCCTTTTATAAACACCTCATGTACTCCATAACCACTTCCCAAATTTGTACCTTTAGTCCAGACTCCAATGAAAGCTGGAGAAATATCTCCTTTTCAAAGAAGTTTCCTTGATTTCTCCAACAGGGATAATTGGCTTCTTCTGAGGCCCTTTACCAGAACTCATTCCATGACATTTGATGTTCCATAACTTACAGTTCAGGTACTAACGGACAGGTCTTAGGTCCTCATAGAGGATATATGATCTACCTGATTTATCTTAGAATCCACAACAGTGTCTTTCTTGTGACAGGAATAAAATAAATATTTATAGAATCTAAAATATATGAATTAATATCTATGGGTTATTCAGATGATCAAATGAATAAAACTTAAAATGAATGATCTGCTTTGTTAAACATAGTGACCATTAGCCAGCCACATGTGGCTATTTAACATTAAGTTAATTGAAATTAAAATTTAAAATCTAGTTCCAAGTTATGGTAATCAAGATAGTGTAGTATTTGTAAAAGAATAGACACATAGATTGATGAGACAGAACAGAAAGGAAATAGATGCACAAAAATAAAATCAACTGATCTTTGACAAAGGAGCAAAGGTAATATGTCATCAAATTCCTCTCTTTTCTTGAAGGCCATAGCTCTAGTTCCAGAAGTTATCAAAGGGAACAGGACCGGGTCCTTTCTGGTACATTGCCTGAGGAAGATTATTAATTGTTTTATGGAGGTCTTAAGGGAAGTTTAAACCACATTCCTGAATGATTCTAAGACAAGCATGGTAGGCTGCTTGGTTTTAGTGTGCACATCTTACCTTCCCTATAAGAAACAATACTTTGTCTGTTTTCCTTGTCACCTAACATACAGCAGAAGCATAATTAAGATTTTGCGAAATGACAAGATGGATATTTAACTCTTGACCCAGGGGCGTCTCAAACGAAGCCTCAACAAATACTCCTGTTTAATTGTTAGAATACCGACCATGTGCCAGAGAGTTTCTACACTAGCATGGTCCACTAGATACACAATGTAAACCATGTATTTTTTTTAATTTTCTAATAGCAAGATGTTTTTTTTAAAAAAAAGAGATGAAATCAAGTCAAATAATGTATTTTGTTTAACTCCACATATCTGAACCATTGTCAGTTCAACATGTACTCAATATAAAATTAATTAATGCCTCTGATTAATTGAGTGGCATTAATTAATTTTATATTGAGTACATGTTGAACTGACAATGTAAGTCACTTCTATGCATTTTAGTGTCCTCACCTGTATGGGTGAGTGGATGGGTGGAGTGGATCATCCAGGGTGGACACTACTTGCTTTCACATCCCTCTTTCCCTCTTGGTGTCTGGTAAGCTGGCTCTCCTGTTACCGTGAGGTCTTCAATGTACACCATTCCTTCTGATTTTGATGAAGCATTCTTCTGACACTTAGCTTTCCTGGTTGGGGCAAGATGCAGCCCTTCGGAGCCCAAGAGATGTGCTGCATTTTCATTGGAGTTTCTTCTATTTTCAGCATGTGGCCCAGCATCAGCTTCTTGCTGCTTTCTTGAAAGAAAGGAAACTTGTTGTCTGGGCACCCAGTTTGAATTTTCTGTCTTCTTTGTTCTCATGCATGTTGTAGAAAGCTCTACACTCCCAAGGAAATTCAACTATATATTTCCATCATTTCCCTTCTCTCTCTCCAAGAAATGCAAGAAAATAACTGTCAACTTTTTTTGCATATATAAATTTTAACAGCCCATACATGTCAACTAATCTTTTATCCAGGAAGGAAAAGCTTATTTCAAGTGATTGAAAGTTGAAATGCTTAGGTTTTGATTCTTGTTGTGTAATGGAATCACTGTGTGGACATGCTATTTTATGATTAGTTTATCAGCCCTCCTACCCCTAATCCACTAACACTAATGACTGCCTACTATGTGTAAGGACATAGTGTCTATGGAGGATAAGGCAAATGTTCGAACAACCATAGCAAAAGTTAGAAGGAGCATATCCAGTGTTTTGAGAGGGGTGTAAAGCACTAAATTCAAATATTTGGTTTGGGGGGGAGGGAATCAAGGAAGTCTTCATAGAGGAGTTGTCATAGAGAATGAATTTTGAAAAAAAAGTTAGTTTCAGTAAACAGAGAAGACAGGAAGGTCACTGAGGTCTGAGAAGTGGCACTGACAATTATCTATATCCTAGAGATCATACAGAAGAAGGAGGGGGAGGAGGAATAGGAGGGACCAGCATAGCATGTGGTGTGACCAGACAACTACATGTGTATTAAAGGGATTATGTAAGTATAAAAGGCAGTTTGGCAAACTCAGACTAATGGCAGTAGTGTCATACTGCTTCCATCCATAGGAGACAGCTTAATGAATCACAGCCCACACCTTTCCAACTAACCTTAGGCGCTCCTCCCCAAGATGAGATTGAGTCGCCAGTCTTGGTGTAGGAGTACGGCGTTAAGTGAGGTAGAGCCTTTAATACCGTGTTGACTAGTTAGTAGTTAATTGGATAGGCAATGGGGAGACATTAAAGTCTTGTAAGCAGGGGAATGACATGGTGGGAAATGAGAGCTGTAGTTCAGGGTAATTTACTCAGCAGTGCTATCTCGCATGGATTAGAATGGTTATAAGACTGAAGGCCAGTTATTTGGAAAGTCACTGCAATAGTTCAGGTGAGCAATAGTGGCTTGAATTGAATGAACACAGGAGAGGGCAGGTGTCATAGAAGTAGAATTTATAGAACATGGCAAGTACATTAGGACAGGGAGAACTAGGGGCGGGGGAGAGAGAGGGACAGAGACACGGACTCCCAGTAATTACTTTTAGAGTAAGAGAAATGTAGGGCTACCATCAGGAGGGGAGCCTGGGATTGCACAAGGAGGTAGGTAGGGTCCTTGTAGGGCTGGAGAGAAAAAGAAGAGAAGCAAAAACCTGGATTTAGGCTTATCTCTTCTACAAAGCACAATTTTTCAAAGCCTTTGCCTGTCTGAGAACTCACTGCAAGGTAAAATAACCATTTTGAGCAAACATTGTTGCCCTTTGTCAATGAGCACATCTAAGAAAGGCTCCCATCTCTCCAAATATTTGGAAAATTGGAAAGCCCTAATTAGTAATCAGGAAAGGGGCAGGAGGGAAGGAAAGAAATATAAACCCAATCACTGTGCTTTTCAGGTTTGAAATGCTTCCCCAATCCAGGAAATTTACACTTTAGTAACAATGATTGACAGTCAAGGAATGTATCTAACTCACTTTTATTTTTCCCTTGGGGAAAGCACTTGAGTTCCCAATTGTTTTAAATTGCAGAAGCAGTAATTGTCTTAGAGAGTGAGGAGAAATGTTTTTTGGAGCTGGGACCTCTCTCTGAAAAGAATATAAAGCTTATCTTAACTGGTTAAGGTCAGTAGAGCTGCTTTTCTGGGAGATCTATCCAGGGTGACTAAATCCCACCTTAGTTAAATTAGAAAAGTAAAAGCACCGCTTGAATGACCAGGGGAGCAGATTTAACCAAAAAATATTAACAAGTTGCTACTGGTACTTAAAAGGAAGCCAGGGTTACTTTTTGAGCTATTTGCATTCTACATAGAATTATTGGTGAAATTTAATTCGAAAGTATGTTTCTAAGTATTCTTTAAAAATACAATGCAGTTAATATAGTTTAACATGCTCACTGTCCCAGAGGAAATTGTTGATTAAACTGTTCACTTGATATATTTGTTTACTTAGAAAAGTCAAGTGTGACCAGTTAGGTCAATATCAACAAGAACATTATTAACAGGCTAACCAATGGTAAATGATGTGAAGGCTACTCTGGAAATCTGTTCTTTGATGTATGGGGAAACTCACACATCTGATTTGGGATAGAGGAGACAATCATGGCATTGTGTGTAGGCGCCAACAGACAGGCTAAAGCCAGGGATCCTTGCAGAGACTGGATTAAGGTATCAGAACTGTTCACATCTCATTTACATCACCCCAAAGAGTGGACCACAGGTTTGCTGATTAATACACAGACCATGGCAAAGAGCATTGTGTATGAAATCAGATCAAGGTCAGTAACAGTAACTTCAACCATGTGTGAAATTTGGCATATAGAAGTTCCTCTTAAGCTATTATCTAACAAGATTTTAACCCCCTTATTTTTTAAAAAACATTTTTTTTCCAAACTAGAAAGTTAGCAAATGCACAATGTTCCCCAATTCTCTCCCCCACCCCACCTCCTTAAACACATATTTATGCCACCTTCTGGTATATAATAATATTTTTATTGTCAAAATTTTTGAGCCTTCTGAAAGGAAGATGGGGGTGTATGTTAAAAATGGACTGATTTCATCAGTGTCTGCAGGCAAAAGAAAATGGTGGATTGATATTGAGATAGAGATATCAAGATACTACCACTTGAATATTTCCATCCATTCAATTTGTATTGTTCCTTTATACTGTAGTTTGGGATGAAGGTTACATTGATGTAATTTTAGGTTTTAAGCATCCACTAGAAGATGGGTTGTTTCAAATGAAGGAGTTCTTAGAATAATGCTTTCAATTATGTGACTTATTAGGAGTATCTTAATTCTATCATCCAGACATTATGAATACCACGCCAGTATATCAATCTTTTATGGCAAGACTACACTTAACAGCAAAAGTACCAGTGGGAATCACAATCAGCGGCCACGCAGGAGTTAGATGCAGTGTGGCATATTTTCTGCAATTTAGACAGTCATCCAACAAACAGGCCAAAGTTTTCTTCAGTAAAAAGTGCCCTGCCAAACGGCTGGCTTCTGGATTCCTCGCTGAAGAAACAGCAAAGGAGCTGAAAGCGACCTCTTTCAACCACACCAGAAATTAGCTGTCGATGGCGATACTAGATTCACAAAATCTGTTTCAGGCACACATACGTATCTAACCAAGATTGGAAACCCACTGACTGTCCCGTTTCAAAGTAAAAAGTGCCACGTCCTCCATTCTCCTCCTTCTTTGGGGTGTTAGTCCAGTTCTAATTCTTTCTTAGTTTCCACTCAGCCCTGGATAGGGCTGGCAGGGAGCTACCTGAGATTTCTCAACGTGGATAACCGCATTTGTCTCCTCCCAGGCTGGCTGTGGATGGGGATGAGTTCTGTTCCCGATAGAGTCTCAAAAGTAGACACAGATTCATCTCGCCGATTTTAATTTCTGTCCCTGGGTTGAGGAGACAGGAAGATTGGGGCGCAGGAGGAACTCCCCTCCTCCTCCCCTCTTTTCCCCACCTCCCTAAATTGGCAGCCTGTCTGTGGCTCTCGGTCTGGGGTCTGGAGGGTGGGGAATGTGGGTGTGGGGGCCGGCTGGAGAAGCTCTCGCTAGCGCTGCCTGTGGCCAGACCCGCCTCCTATCCCCTCTCGGGCGCACACACACGTCCACCTAGACACTCCGCGCGCTCCCTCGCGCTCTCGCTCGCCCGCCCGCCGCCGCCTGCTCTCTCCCTCCTGCTCTCGCCGGTCTCCTTCTCCCTTTTTTTTTTTTTTTTTGGTACCATAGAGTTGCTCTGAAAACAGAAGATAGAGGGAGTCTCGGAGCTCGCCATCTCCAGCGATCTCTACATTGGGAAAAAACATGGAGTCAGCTCCGGCAGCCCCCGACCCCGCCGCCAGCGAGCCGGGCAGCAGCGGCGCGGACGCGGCCGCCGGCTCCAGGGAGACCCCGCTGAACCAGGAATCCGCCCGCAAGAGTGAGCCGCCCGCCGCGGTGCGCAGACAGAGCTATTCCAGCACCAGCAG